TATACAACAAAGGTTCCCGTAATGTAAAGAGCTTGAGGCTGAGAGATGAAAATTCAGTTAGGAGGCAAACGTTGGCACAGGAAGGCGTTCTTTGGCAACAACTTCAGCCATGAGATCACCTTTTTTTCTCTCTCTCTCTCTTCTGTACAGGACGTGCTTATTGTTTAGCCAGTGTGACTCAGTCAAGTCTCGGTCTGTAAATGCTTAAAACCAAACAGCGGTGACGTCTCCTGAGCCGAACAGCCGCCATCTTTACTGTCGTTAAAATGGAGCTGTCGCAGTCCGATCGGTTGATCGACCTCCTTCCAAAGCGCCAGTAAAGTTGCTTCTTTCTGCAGCGTTCACACAACAGACTTAAAAAACAAACAAAAAAAAAAAAACGAACAGTGTGTCAGCTTAAACAATAGCGGGGCCGCCTGTGTGTCACTGACAAATGATGCGTTTCTATTGATTCCAGTTGGTGATTTGGCAGAAGGAGACTATTTTGTCTTTTATTTCTCCAAAATATTCTGGGAGCAACACAAAGACATGAGAAAGATTCCCCTCTGGAGTTTTTTTTTTTTTCCTTTTTATATATATATATATATATATATATATATATATATATATATATATATATATATATATATATATATATATCTGGAAAATCCTGCTCTTACAAACACACCAAATTAACCACAGATGCTGAATTCTTCACACATTGTACTAATGCACACACACACACACACACACACACACACACACACACACATGCACGCATACATACAAAACCTAACAATATGACTCATTAATCTCCACAGCAGACAACTGGAGACGTTGCTCTGACATCCTTTTGGCTGGGAGCTTCCTTCGAAAATCTCAGGCTTTCCCAAAGCTGGAAACTAATCAAACGTGGAGCTGCCTCTGGCCTTAGGTTAACAAAAGCCCCTGTCAGGTCCCAATCCCCACCCACTCCAAACCCCTACTCAGCCACATGAGCCATGGCTGGACCTGGCACCGATGTGTGGATCAGATTAGGGAGGATCAGCAGACCCCTCTTTCTGCAGAAGATCATCTTGGGGGTTAGTCATACGTTTTAATCCCAGGTGGACATCCTGAGATCTGGGCTCTCTTCAAAGCGTAAAAGCAGCTAAATGCACGTGATGACAGGCGGGCGAGGGAGTGGTGAGCGTCATCCTGTCATCAGGCAGATGTCAGAACCACCGAAATGAGCTGCTGGAGAGGCAGATATATACGACACAGCGATTGTACTTCCACATTCACTGACAGACACGACATGAAGAGAGCATGTCAGACAAACTACAGAAGAGCTGCGCTCCACAGTAAGACGGCCAGCAGGCTGAGGACCGAAGCCAAAAGTACATTTTTGCCCCGCCGTGTCGCGCTGTTTAGAGCATCCTTTTCATAGATGTGATATCTGTTGCTGTTTGAGTGGAGCATTTTCACATCCTCAAAAGCGTAATACGCCGCCATGGTGAAGTTAATGTCTCCGGAGGAGAGGAGGTCAAACACGCAGGACTGAAAGTACAGATCTTCCACCGGAAGCCGCTCTTTGCACTTGACCTTTGCCGACTTGAAGGTGAAGCCGTGTGTCCCGGCGCCGCCCCTCGTCCTACTGGCGCCCTGAGTCGCCTCCGCCGCCCGGGCTCTGAAGTTCCGGAAGTCAATGCGCTGGTTGGCCGGACAACCGTGGAGACACAAATACAGGTCCTGGGTGTCGCCTTCCTCCACCGAGTGAGCAACCTCCACGGGCATGCGCACGGCGAAGGTCAGGTAGCGGCCGACCTGCCGGACCACGATGGTTGTTCCGATGTACTTGGCCTGGATCTCCACGTGCTGCCCGGGAACCTTCTCCACCACGCGCAGAGTGTTGGCCCCGTAGCGGTCGCCGCCGTTCTTGGAGCCGTCTGCGAACGCTGCCGGCAAGTCGTCCGTCTCTGCGTGGTACATCTTCTGCTCAACGCATTCCTGGTAATTTCTGAAGATGATTGTCAGCTGCACGAATAAAAAAAATAAATTAAAAAAAAGTCATTGTCAGCAAAAAGAAATATTCTATTTGAAGCTGGTAAAAGTAACTGCTTTTAGTAGCAGATTGTATAATCAGTCATAACAATCTGTGATAAATGTATAGCGCATTAAAAAAATGTTTACACCCTTCCCATTTTTAGATTGTCATATTATATTTTTAAAGTTTAATGTTTTTATTGGGATTTTAAGTGACTGACTAACAGAAAATAGAAAGTAACTGTGGGAAATGGTTTCCACTTTTCTTTCATTTGTAAATCTGAAAAGTGCGGCATGGATCTACATCTAGCCTCTCTGACTCAGTAGCACTAGCTCTATGGTTAGAGTTTGTGTTTTGCTTCAAAGTTGAACCTACCACCTGGTTCTAATTCTTTCAAACTCTAAACGGTTTCTTTACCCAGGATGGCCTTGCATTTAATTTCAACCACTTTTCAATACTGAACAAATGCCTCCCCACAAAATGATAGTGTCACATCCATGATTCACAGTGAGGATTGTGAGCAAAGGGTACATCATTTGTTTTCCATCACACATCCATTTTGTATGTAGACGAAAAGCTTCAGTTTTGGTCTGAAGCTTTTCGTCTACATACGAAAAGCTTTTTTGCATGTAAAAAGTTTAGTGCTGGTACAATACATAAAATCCAGTCTAATAAATACAATTACTTGCAACGTATCACAGTGTCTGTGGTTGTAAAGTGCATGAGGAAATGTCACAAGAGGGATAAATGCTTTTTGTGAGGTTGTGAACATCACAATTAAAAATGGAAAGGTTTTATAATTTTGCACCGAGGATAAGTTTGTACCACATCGACTCCCTTCTACTCCAGCAAAGTGTCACATTTCAGTGCTGGCTCAACAAGGGGGGAGGCCAAGGTAAACGCCCTCCAAAAACACAAGTTCCTGGCCATGTAAAAATCAGGCCTCAGTTTGCAGACACAAAGACGATCTATTCATAGCGCTGAAAAACCTGCCTGTGAACCCCCAGAACTATGCTCCGGGGAGTGGCGTCGGGCCAGGACACGGCGATAGACTCTGCAGCTAATTAAGCGAGGCCGGTCAGAACTCTCCAGGCTCCGTTTCATGGGACACCAATGGGGCATTGTCCGAGCAATGGTACGAGGACAGCCAAGTGCTCTGTTGTCTGTTTCTGACAGGGGGGTCTACACAACACTCTATTAGCCTAACAATTAATGTGCTGCGGCCGCCCTGCACCCACCGTCCTACGGCTCATTTCTTCAACGTTTCGCTGAAGCAGTCAAAAGACATAAGCCTCTTTCCGTGCTCCCTCTGAATGAAGACAGTTTTATTTGCTGCTGTGTGAACAGTGTTGCTACCAACATGGCGCTCTTCTATTTAAAGCAGATCTTTCACCAGAAGGCTCTTGTTTGCACAGGTGGCACTTGCTGCTGCTTTGTTTCCCCTTTTATCCAGAACCGAGCACTCTTAAAAAGCTGTCTCCGTTTACTTCCAAGAATAGCAGCACAAAAATGTAATTCACTTAAAAGCTAAATAAGCCGCAAATGCTTAATAAGTGTCATTAAGAAGCCCTGATTACAGAAAATTACAGATCCTACAAATGTGAGCCCTTCTATTCCTCCATCTAAGTACTTCAGTTTTGGGCCTCAATTACAATTGCTCCTAAGGCTCTAAGAAACCTGGGCTAACTCCATCATGATGCTAGAAGACAATTTAGCAGCAGCTATCCAAATTATCCACTGTGCCTTTAAGCAAACTAATAATCATGGGTGTTCTGCAGATAAAGACATGAGAAAAACCAAGTATGCACACAATAGCTAACTCCACCCCGAGCAGCAGAAACATCAGACTGAGCTGAAGTGAAAATAAATCCTTGTGTTAACATCTGATTCTGCTCTGCTGCAACATGTCGTTTAGGGGGCTTATCAAGATTTCAGCGATTGCAGACCGGGCTTGGACTTCTCGATGTGTTACTATGGAGCTAATTCCAAACACTAGCCAGACGCCACGGTTTGACAGAAAGAAGCCGCTCCGCAGCGCTAACAGTCAGACAGCATCAAACAGCAGACACATGCAAAAAAATCAATACACCCAGCGGCTTCACTGGACCTTTGGTTCAGCTCGGCCTTTAAAAACGTGATTAAATGAAGGTATTCAGTGCTTCTGATTGATAAAATTGCACTACTCAGACTACTTTAGTGTTGTAAAGTAATCTATACAATAATCATGTTGCTCTTTGAGGGACTGTCTGTTTTTTTTTTTTTTTTTATTATATAATTTTGTCGATCTTTATCTGGAGTAATCTGCAATCACAGCCATATAATCTATTGCCAAAAACAACTGCAATGGGTTTCTACAATTAATTTTTATCATTTGGAGTTAAGATTGTTTACCTCGTTGGGTTTGTTATCCATAAACCACAAAGCTGTATTTATTTCCATTGTGATGAAGGGTTGTTTTGAAGTTTTTTTGGCATCTAGGCCAACTTTGTTTGATTATCTTTAATACACAGGCTTGTCAAATCTAAAATGCATTATTGTAGAGTAGACTAAATATCATTTTTTTAAGAGCGGCTTGTAATACTTACTAAAACAGTTGATTGTTTTAGTTAAAAAAATGTTGCGCTATGTTTGAAATCTCAATTTGACTCAGTGTAGAAATCACAAGACTGTTTTAAAAACCCTGATCTAAATAGGTCTAGAGGCCCAAAACCTTTTTTTTCTGAAATTCATCTTTTTAATCCTGATAATGGAATGGGCAGTAACGTCTTGAAACGTTTATCCTCAGTTGTGTTTCTGTTGCCCACCAAGAATTTAAACATGGCTAAAATCCAATTTCAAACTTTTTCCAAGACCATGAACCCAGCAACCTTTTGTACAGATCATCAAACATTAACTGGCACCAAATGCACAACATATAATACCATTTTAGCCTTTTGTAATGTCTGAATAAAAAAAAAAAAAAATTGCACATTTGATTAGAATAGCATGAATTCCAGAAGAAAAAAAGGCTAAATCAAAAACAGTCAAATTAACATTAAAATCACATTCTAGAACATGACACTTCTCTATGTTTGACCCAGATGTTTTTGTGCAAAAAGATGAAAGAAATTATGACATCAAAAATAATGTCAATCAGTTGCAAAAATTGCTAAAAAGAAATCCCTTACTATGACATGAAACCTCCGTACAGTCCTTATGTCCATTTTTGTAAAACATTTTTTTTTTTTTGCATAAAAGTTCATCAAAAGCTGTATTGACACACATAAACCGGGCTGTACTCAGTCATACATTTAATCCTCACCTTGCTTGTGGCGGTTGCCATAGACCCTGGAAGCACAGGTGAGTTGGTCACCTGGACAGACAGGAATTTGTTATGGATGAGGGGCCAGGCTCCTTCCACCTTGCACGTCTGGAAGTCATCGCCGAAGGTCCTGAGGTGAGGGTCTCCGAAGAAGCCACAGTGGGTGTAGTTAGGCGGGGCCGAGTTACGCGTCAGACTGCGCTCGTAGTGGCACACCTCCGGCCCGTCGGAACGCTCCTGGCTGTCGGTCACGACTGGGGGAGGCGGAGGAGGAGGAGGCGGGGTTCTGGCTCGCGGCTGGAACGTCGGCCCCTCCTTGGAGCAGTTCTTTTGGTTCATTAGGTCCTCTATGCCATGCTGGACGGAGTGATAGGCCAGGTCGCCCCTGCAGCTCCGCGCCAGTCGGCCCACGCAGCTTTTATACGCCCGCAGAGCCGTGCAGTACTCCTCCTCGCCGAGTCCAGAGTTTGAGGTGATCGCCAGATATTCAGTGGTGCACTTGATTACCTTGCACTGCAGACTCGCTGTCAGGAAGATAAACGGAATCAGAAAGGTATGCAGTCTAGAAATATGACGCTGACACACTAAGCTGAAAATTAAAAGTGAGTGTTTTTTTTTTTTTCCTCTAAAACTAATCCATAATTCTCAGACAACAAATGATATATTACTTTCTATACACTTAGGAGGAAAGACGTTTATTTGGCCTACACTTACATGCTGGAAGTTAAAAACACATTTTTGACCATCTACCTAATGCAAAAATAGATCCAAGTCTCTTGGTATAGCAAAGGACTGGATTTCCTTAGCTTGAAAGTTTTAAGTTAAAACCCTTATTTTGGTTCTAATCTCCAGGCTTACTGATGATTAATCACTCCTGTCCCAGAGATTGTTGAACTGTTTCACTGTTCAAACATATCTCAGGAAGCCTTATTGCAACACCTTGTCTGACAAGCATCACCTTGGGCTAATAAAGCATTTATGTTTTATAAGGCTGTTTCACCAAATGTTGCAAAGCAAAAGTCACAGCAAAACTTTTAAAAGGCACAATTTAGACGTTTGTGGAAAAGCTTTTCCACGGCTCCTCACTCAGCACTTAACCATCTGATCTTATACAACAATCTTGATTTCAGCCATTATCTGTTTTGGTCACTGCATTCCTTATCACCATTGTTGCTAAATGGTAAGTGATTTAGGTGGGAAGTTGATAACACTAAGAAACTTGTAAAGTAAACCGACCGAGGTAACTCTTTGTCAATCCCATCAGTTACAAACTTCTATTACACTTAAAGGTTGTAGTAACTCTCATTATCTAAAGAATCATCATAGATGGTAAAAGCTGTGACTCTAAATGAAGTTAGGTTAGACTAGATGAATTAAATCATTTCCAGGTCTGGATGAAATATCCAGAACTTGAGCACTGACAAACTGACTTTGACTCTTACATGAGTTTATATTTAAATGCATGCTTTAACTTTTACTTCTACGTCACGCATTCTGTCTCGATTTTTATCACTTTACCTTTCCTTATTTTAGTTTTGTGAAATCCTGACTAAATATACTCATTCGAAAGTTAAAACAGCCATTACACTACTTTTGTGGACTCTGGACAACTTTAATTGGGTTGAATGGGACATGCAGATCATAAAATGGGTCTACTTAAGACGCCAAACAAAGCACACCCAGATAGCACAGAATGATTGAAACAACATTGAATCAATGTCAGCCAGAAACATTGAATCAA